GGTGCCCACATGTGCCGAACAGGACGCCCACCAACTCTTTAGACGATGACGATTGCACTGGAGGTGCCGGGCAGGGTGTTCAGGTCACGCGTTTGTCTCCGAAAGTATTCACAAGCCTTCAGCCGCGATCGAAGCAATGACATGACAACGTAAAGCGCTTGTTGTCAAAGTTTTGTTGTTACGCCTCTATAGCATCCCACAGCTGCAAAGCTCGAAGTATACCAACAGCATTTAAGTTGGTCTATTTCCCAGCTGCATGCATTTGCTCTGATCTACCTATCAATCTATTCATCTAACTCCCTCTCTCTATAACTCGGTGATGTCTACATAATGTATATACAGCACCTACTACGTGCTTTTTGGAGCCCTCGATTTCTGTAGTTACCAGAGCTTCGAGAGCTGCGATTTCGTGATTAAGGAAAAGCCTGCCCCATCACCATGAGTTTAGGATTTTGTAAGGGTTTCGGGTTCGGGGTGTAGGGTTTAGGACAGATGTTCCGGGCGAGAGAAGCCTGCTGCAAAAAGGGTTTAGGGTTGACGTGCTACGCTTAATTACAGGATTAGAGTTTCTGGCGTATATAGGGTTTGGAGTGTGGCAAGGGTTTAAGGTTTGCAGGGTGTATGCTCTGGGGGGTGTTGGGTTTGGGGGTAGTGTCTGGGGTGTAAGGTTCAGGTCAGCGTTTAGGGCGCATTGTTGGCAAAGACAGCCATTACGTGCCTGGATTTAGCCGTCCCCACAGTAGAAGTGCGAGTCAGACCAATGGCTACAAGAGCTTCCCAAGCGCAATGTCAACCCATCCGGAGGCACCCTGAGACTCCCCAATATCCCTTAATTAAGGAATATTCCTGAGATTATAGTAGGATCCCTAATATAATTTAAGGAATATTCCTTAATTAAGGGATACTGGAGTCTCTGGGCATAGTGGTAAGACTGTCGGAATCGTCCCCTGATGGTTCGTGAGTGAAAGAGACGAGCATGAGATGCGGCAGTTGCACCTGCCTTAGGCCACAAAAAGGGTAGCTATCAAGAACAAAAGCACCTGCGTGCAGATCCTGGGGACTGCCATGCGGGAGCAAAACAATCCAAAACGATTGGGGTCCATATGTTGAGGGATCTAACTTTTTTGGTTTTAGGCGGAGCCTTCATTCCTGTGGTTCACCAAAATAGTCTGAGCTGGAAGCTACCATCGAACCCAACGGGTGTCTTGCGAATCCCGCCATGAATGACACATGAGGCAGAATGGCAGAAAGCTGCACAACCTTGCCAAACTTGTGGCTTTGAAGAACTCATTAGACCAGTATTCCCTTATGGTTCCTATAGTGCCACGTCGGGGTTCGTAGAACCTCACCTAGCACAGACCGTAGCGAGACAACCCTCTAGCGCCTTCAGCCCCAAGCCCTAAACTCCGAAATCCTCGCCGGGCTTTGTCCGTGCGAGTGTGCAATTTTTAAGGACTTATAGGTACCATAACCCCAATTATAGGGTCCCCTTTAGGGTACTTATAAGTCTACTTACTACCTACTTACTAAGTCCCCCGACCCTCCAAGTAGACCGGAGCGTTGAAAGGAGGAGATTCTGGACTTTGTCCTCGTGGAGCAGCATGGCTTTCAAGATTTACAGGTTTAAGCAGTGCGCGACGTCGGAAGGCTTAGGAATCGCATGGTATGTTATCCACGTACGACCCCAGCTATAGCACCACATACCCCGAAAGCCCTATTCTAAGTCTGAAGGTAGCTTGAGCAGAAGTGCGTGCAAGGTTGGGTTTATTTCAGCTGGCATCAGCATTTCCTGGAGTGGCTTCAGGTTGAGGTGCTTGGTCTTCTGCTCTTGGGCCATAGGCCTCTTCGTTTGTGATGTAGAGACGAGCATTCACCGTGCCCACAACACTATCCACTGCCCTTGTGTACGTTTGCATTACATATGGAGCCGACCAGGGCCCTTTAGCAAACCTTTCTCTGGCAGATGAAGGCAGTCAGCAGATGATAAGGGGGATTCCAAGCTTGGCCTTCTGTTTGCCTTGAGCTTCAACACTACGTAAACCATACGGCTCAAGCCATCCGTCAAGGCACAATTGTCTCGTTTCGTTTTCCTGCATAGACCGCAAGCCGCGTCATGTCGCTCCGTCGTGGTGTGTTGGCTCTCGCCCTGCCCGCCTTGGCCATGATGCTTGCTGGCTGTGGTTGTGAGCGTGATGGCATCGTCACATGTGTTGTCGACATGCTCGCACAGTCGAACGAGATTTGCGGGGCCGCAGGCTACAGCAAAGTCATGAGTGGCGCCACAACGGTGGCAGACTGCTGCGGGGCGCTCAAAGCGGTGCAGGATTGCTACACGGTTTGCTCCTGTGACACGGAGTGCGCAGTTGAAGACACGGCCACATCCTGCCCGACAACAGGGAAAATCAGTGATCCCGTCAGATTCTGGCAGTCGATCCTCGAGGGCCTGAACAAAAATGGCGAGACCTGTGCCACAGCGGGTGTAACAGGCACGCAGTGCTGAGTGTTTTTCCGAGAAAGTTGGGCCAGCTGTGTGTAACTCTGCTTTTTTGAAGGCAAAGGTTGCGAATTCTTGACCTTTTCTGGCCCGTCGTAAACATTGCAAAATGCACGGGAAATCACGTGCAGCTTCAGTGATCTGCTAGTGCTTGTAAACCTTGACTGGTGCATGCGCTCCTCCTGATGCTGTGGGTTTGAGGACAACTTTCTGCGTTCCTTCAATCACCTGTCTCAGAGGGTGCAGTCGATGGAAGTAAGAGTCTTTGGCGACACCTTGTATCAGAGCGTCAAGATGCTCCAACTCTAGACTCTGAAGCTTGGCGACCTGTGCAGAAGGAGGTGAGCAAGCAAATGGACTGACCGGATCTCATAGGTGGAGCTGCGCGATCAAACAAGGGCTCTGGCGCGAACGTATTACTAGTTACTAGTACTAGCCGCCAGCGTGCTCCCACGCACCACCTTTTCTTAATACGCTTACCACCACCACCCCCACCACCACCACACCACCACCACCACCCACCACCACCACCACCACCACCATCATCACCACCAACGCCAGCAGTGCGGGTAGGAGTGCTGCTGCTGCTACTACTACTTTTACCACTACCAATACTACTACTAGTACTACTACTACTACTACTACTACTACTACTACTACTACTACTACTACTACTACTACTACTACTACTACGACTACGACTACGACTACGACTACGACTACGACTACGACTACGACTACGACTACGACTACGACTACGACTACGACTACGACTACGACTACTGCTACTGCTACTGCTACTGCTACTGCTACTGCTACTGCTACTGCTGCTGCTGCGCTGCTACTACTAACTACTACTACTACTACTACTACTAGTAAATAGTAGTAGTAGTAGTAGTAGTAGTAGTAGTAGTAGTAGTAGTAGTAGTAGTAGTAGTAGTAGTAGTAGTAGTAGTAGTAGTAGTAGTAGTAGTAGTAGTAGTAGTAGTAGTAGTAGTAGTAGTAGTAGTAGTAGTAGTAGTAGTAGTAGTAGTAGTAGTAGTAGTAGTAGTAGTAGTAGTAGTAGTAGTAGTAGTAGTACTAGTAGTACTAGTACTAGTAGTACTAGTACTAGTACTAGTACTAGTACTAGTACTAGTACTACTACTACTACTACTACTACTACTACTACTACTACTACTACTACTACTACTACTACTACTTCTACTTCTACTTCTGCTACGAACAACAACAACAACAGCAACAACATCAATAGTACAGAAAAGAAGAAGTATTTTCAGCAATAATAGCGAAAAATGACAGTAGCACCAAGCCACGCCGAGAAATCCTGACAGCAATAGCCTAAAAATATGCAAAAGTATGAAGATAATTCTAACAGAAACAAATAGCAAATCATGCTAAGAGCAATGGTGGCAATAATACTAACAGTCATGGAATTATTATACAATCCCTCAAGGTGCATGGCCCGGGTTGAGGCATTTCGTGAAACGAATCATGTCGACATGTTCAACTTCGTGTCCTGTGGCTTAGTGTCGAGGGGTAGGTGTTGCTGGTTAGTAATTGTAATGATGCAATCCTGGAAAAATTCAGTCTTTGTGAAAGCCTCAGTGCTCTTGCACGTCTTGTGAGGTGCGTTTTGTGAGGTGCAGGGTTTTGGTATGCGGGTTTTGACTTTAGGCATACTCGAAATCGGTATGGTTTGCGGCCCGGCGGTGGTTAAGTTGGTGCGAACTTAACCTCAGCAGCAGCTGAGTGTTTAGATCCAGAGCTGGTGCAAGGCGTTAGGGTTGCTAACAATATATTAATTTATGACTATCGGGTATCCTGCGCCCGAAAAAAGCAACCGGAATGGCGGCGAACACTTGGGTGTTTCCGAATGTGAAGCATCAGCGCAGCACCCAGCACCCACAACATTGCAGGGTCCTTGTGGGGGTTTCAAGGACAGTAGTCTGGTTATTTGTGTTGCCTTACTTTTTTGTGGAGCTGATTACACTATGCCATACGCCAACGCGTTGCTACACGTATTCTTGGCTTCATCCGACTCGGGCCGTACTCAGGATCCCAAAGACAGCTAACTCGTGCCCTGAGCATCCCTATAAACCTTGCAGCTAACGTTCACGATAATTAGATTATTCTTGTTATGGGTACTACTGCTACCGTTATTCTTATGACTACTAGTACTATGGCTTAATGATTATTATAATATTACTATGATTGTTACTTCTAATAACTATTACCATAACAAAATTATGTATTCTATTTCTATGGTTTCTATGATTACTATTATTATTCTTAGCACCCGAGAGCCCCAACCTTGAACCCGAAGCCTTGAAGTTTGCCTCCGAATCCGACTGAGGAAGCAGACGTTCCTCGAATTCGTGCCCTGCCCGCAGCTTGGCTGCAATGGCGCTTTAATAGGGTTTGGCGTCGTTCTGTGAGGATTATTCGGGCCATTGAGGTTTTGGGTCGGTGGGATGGTTTGGGGGAAACCCGAAAAAGGAAGTGCAGAGAAGTGTTGAGCAAGCCGGTCCCGAGGGACGCACGCAGTACTATACTCTTGCCCGGTTTTCTCAACTCTTCTCAGCACTGCATGCGTGTTCACTGTGGCACAGATCTCGCCGTCTGTGTTCAGGTTCCTTACGGAAATTTACACAGCTGTCAAAACTCAATGGGGTCGTGATGACGCATGGCGCAAAAGTTTGCAAAGTCTCCCGAACATCACGTGCAGCGTGAGAGTGGTCCACTTTGGCGATTGAATGCTCTCCTGAAGATGCTCTGGATGTTCAAGGCTTTGACCACCCTTACTTTTCTCAGGAGGTATTGCAGGAGGCCCGATTGCGTCCAAGGTCCCGACCTACTCCGACCCAGGCTGCCTTCCCAGAGGGAGGAGAGCAAAATGGACTGACTGAATTTCGAACCATGTTTGTAGGATTTTGGGAACGACTACCAGGGGGATTACAAGAGAGGACTCTCTCGGGATTAAGTGGGACAATGTCAGCTGTGTGTTGACATAGTCTTAACCCCATGATTCCGTGGACAAGTACAACCACATGCCTTGCCTGGATTGTCCGGGTGTGAGCGCCGAAAGCACAATCCATCTTAAGAATGCTAAGCAGCCGTAGACGCAAGCAAGCTACACAGCTCCCCAAACCCCATACCCGCAACCGTGCGAGAGTCCAAACACAAGCTCCGAGAGCCACGCTCCACAAAATCCGAAATCCCAACCCCAGACCTGAACCCTACACCCAGTACCCTGAACCCTATACACCCTAATCTCACCACCCTATAAGCCCTAAACCTAAACCCCAAACAGAGGCCCTACACCAAAGGATCAGAGAACCCGAGGATGTCAGGCTTGCGCCGCTGCCAAAGTGAGTCGGCGGCTTGCGAGCTGCTATGTTGGCGGCACCTCGGATGTGGGTTTGGGGTTTAGGGTTTAGGTTTTAGGGTTCGCTGTGATTAAGGGCCTAAGAGTCTCCATTGTAGTTCTTTTTCTTGGTTTAACCAATTTTATATTAAGGATCCTAAAAGGTAACCCCAAGAAGCAACTACAATGGAGACTATAGGTGAGTTTTGGGTTTGGGGTTTGTTTCGTGGGCGCTGGCCGGCACCTCAGTCCGTGCTGAAAAGGGTCATGCTTCAAATGTTTTGGCTTTAGGGTCATGGGTTTAGGGTTTGGGGTTTAGGGTCATGCGTCGAGGGTTTTGGCTTTAGGGTCATGGGTTTTGTGGTTTGGGGTTTAGGGTTTAGGGAGGGTATAGAGTATAACTCAGAGGACATGTTTAGGCTTTAGCGCTTAGGGTCTGTTTTCTTGAACTTCGCTTCCCCCAAAAAGTGTGCAATTAGGACTCGATTCAATAATTGCTACAACCGAGCAAAGTAATTAAGGGGCTGCTGGGTTACATGTTACGTGGTTAGTAACCTGCGATTTACGTAGCTGGAGTCATAGGGCAAAAAGTGATTTCGGCATACGTGAAGCCATCCTCTTGGAAAGAAGAAGTTCGGCCGGGTGAACCGCTTATACTCGTTGTGGGCGGGCAGTAGTTTTCGTCCTAAATACAAAGTCACCGTCATGTTTGCCACTCTTTCCCCGTGTTTGCCTTCAGAAGTGGACCAGTCTTGTGTTGCCAACTGTTTCGGGGGTTCCTTAAGATGGTTATAGTATACCATCACTCAAAACCCTATTCTGATTACTAAGGCCCCTACATTAACAGTTTCTTCGCATGAGCCATCTCGGGCTGGTCGCGTTGTTTCGGGGCTAGACCCAGCTGCTGGTCGCATGTATCATTTGTATTCTCAGACTTATTGGCTGTAAACTCAACTTTTCAACTTTTGGGGTTCTTATAAGGTAGTAGATTCTGAAAGTTTCAACTTTCATTCCCTTGGGTTTTGAGAAAGTGAGTAGAAGAGCTGCAGATGCACGAGGGGCGCTGCAGCACAATCCGCAGAATGCATGGGGACGCAAACCAGCCGAGGTCGTCCGAAGAATGCAACTAAACCCCACGGTCTCTCCTCTTGATTCACAGTTAAGCCGTTCAGCTAAACCCCAACCCAGATAAACCTATTCCCAGATCTACTGTATGATCCCGAAGGAGACCCAACCCAAAAGGGCTTCAAGCCGCCCCTTGAACGTTGAAAAGCCCTTTAAGCGAATTCTGCAGGGTTTAGGGAGTTCGGGCTTACCCCTCAGACGCTTCTTGGGCCATTTGGGGTTTCTGAGCTTTACTTAGGGGTACTGAGAAATATTTTTAATTTTAGGTTATTATAATCCCTAAGAAACAGCTAACAATTATGATTTTTTGCTAGGGTTCTAAGTTCAGTATAGTTTATGGTTTTGAAAGCTCGTGCTTCTTCCAAGGCGACGCGAACCTGAGACGATGGAGGAGCCCATGCTGGGAGGCCAGGCACCTTGTGGGGGTCGGGGGACTTAGTAAGTGGCTATTTTGAGGACTTATAAGTACCATAACCCCAATGAGGGTGCCTTTTAGGGTACTTATAAGTCTACA